TTAAAAATTTAAGATATATCTCAGATGTTATGGTACTTGCAATTGAACTCTGGTGTATCCTACTTTTATGAATAGTCATTGAGATGCTTCTACAACTTAGAGATTAGAGTCCACCTGTACTAATTTAATTTACTGAATACAATTAGGAAAGACACACACCTGTTTATAGAAGGTCTCTAAGTTGGTGTACGTCAGAGTGAAAACAAAGCCATAAGGTCAAGAGAACTGTCCACAGACCTGCGAGACAGGACTGTGTCAAGACATACAGTATCTGGGGAAGGATACAAGAGAATTTCTGCAGCACTGAAAGTGCCCAAGAGCATGGTAGCCATTTTCAGATGGAAGAGATTTGGAATCACCAACCATCTTCATAGATCTAGTCACCCAGCCAAACTGAATAAAGGTAACCAAGAACCCAAGTTAAATACTGCATCATATGCAGCTGAATCCATTTTAAGACGAGTCTGAAATGTAAAAAAATAAAACAAATTTAAAATTCTCTGAATCTTCTCCACTCTATATGGCAAAGTACTATGATTTCAAATCAGGATATTAGTAATAATTGTATTTCAGGAACAAACAGTTTCCTAATTCAACAAAGTACAAATCAATCAAAACACTGATTATAGCTATAAAACAAAACAACAAGCTGTTAATGTTGTTGTGTGCTAACTAGCTGCTACAAGTCTAGTTTGCCTCCAGGCCTGCATAAATTAGAGTAGCAATGTGTAATAATAAGTAGATGGATGAGAACAGGTTAGAAAACTTTATTATATTGCTGGAAGCGTGAGTTGTTTGTGTGCATACATGTTCTGTTCTAGAAAACGACAAAATGAAAAAAGATGTTTGACATGAAGGGAGAGGGATGCTGTGTAAAAAGATGTAAAGATGAGTTGTTCAACAGGTCCTTAAACCACCAAAGCTGAAAAGTAAAGAAATCTTGACGATTCTCTTATCCCACAATTACTAATTTGTGTCAGAAAAATACTTAGTACGTTGCATTATACTGTATTTGGTAGCTCAATTTGTAACAGTGGTCTATGTCTATGTCTATGTCTAAAAATAAACAAATAAGGTGATGAAAACCCATTTGCTGTATACTGGGTGGTGGAAAATTCCAGGGTGACATTTGCCTGCATTTGTTTATGAGTATGTGTGTGCACCTGTGAGAGTGACTTCTTTTAAAAAAATTTCTTGCACTCTGACAAGTAAATATTTAACAATTTTAATGCAAGACTGGACACACTGTAACTACACAAAGGTTAGCAAATCTTTTCTGGGCAAACTGCTCAAAATGCTGCAGAATTTAATTTAAAACCTGTATAACCACCTTACGTTCAATCTATAATGGAATACAACAAATAGTCCTGTTTGAGTGTGACCGCAAGTGAGAGAAAAGGGGAGAGAGGGTAGAAGAGTATGAAAGTACAGACAAGCCACTTGATGTCTCGTTTGACAGTCTCCAGTGTCTCACTCACTGGGTGAATCAGGCTTAATCAGCTGGCCTCCATCTAAATCTCAGGTGCTTTAGCACCGTAACCTTGCATGTGGTGTTGCTTTTGAAGATTTCTATTGATTTATTACATGCTGGGAGTCACAGAAAAGATGGAGCAGAGGGCTTGAATGTCAATGTTAGAAGCACACATTATGCAGTTTTAGACCCCTTGTATTAGGTGCGATTGTCTTTTCTTCAATGTAAATACCTGAGGGAAGCTACAGTAAAAGTCAGATGTGCAGAACCTCTGAAGTGCAGTCATTCAAGGTTCAAGGAGTTTATTGTCAATTCACCATATGCGCAGGACATACAGAAAATTGAAATGCCATTTCTCTCTCACCTAGTATTAGGTGCCATAACATTTAGGAACTAAAACAGAATAAAGTAGAATAAAAATAGAATAGCATAGAATAGAATAAGAACTGGATTGACAGAATTAGGAGAAATCTAAACGGTACAGTCAATAAGCTGTGACTCAAAACTGTGTACAGTCAGTGACCGTAGTGCAAAACAATAATAGGAGATTGTCAGATGGTTCAGCATCACCAGGGCGTTGGTGATGAGGTGAAAATAGCATATGAGGTATACATGGACAGTACTGCAAATGACCAACAGCAGCAGATATCCAAAAAAAAAAAAAAAAAAAAGTGCCAACACAGACTGGAATGCAGACATACTTTAAAGATATAAACATAAAGCATAGCACACTGCATGCTTTCATATCCATGGGTTACTGATTGTGATGATGTGTACATATATTTTTAATATTGGTAAATTCATCTTAGTTGTCCTGTTGTGTAGAAAACCTACATTTAAACAGCCCACCAGACTGTTGCCATAGAGGCACTCATGGCCTACATGCCTTCCCTTTACCTCACCAGTCATTAAGTGTGAGGTTCCAAAGTCATCGTGAGTGAATTAGTAGATGACATTAGACAGCCGCCAGAAGGTGACTTTGGTTGCTAGCTCACTGGGGGGCTTGGTTTCTTAAACAGTAGCAACCCAGTGTAATGTCATCACGTACAAGCATCATCTCTGCTCTCTAGCTGCTTTTTGTGCTCAGTTTTTCAGTTATCTCTTCTGTCTTCTTTTAGATTTCCACTGCCCTTGTTTTTCTTTTTACCTCTTAGTTCTTAACTTTACTCATTATTGTTTCACTTGACATTTGATGTGTTTCGAGACCTGTAATTTGTGCTGCCTTCTTACAGCCACAATTGAAGAAGAAAGGAAAAAAGATAGAAGAAAGATAAATGATCAGATGTCAGGCAATGCAACCAGATGTGGTTCACTGAGCTGAGTCTAGTTGAAATTTAACTCACTACAGATCATATAATGTGTGTCCAGATAGTGATTATCAAACTATCAGTAGCCTACAGTGCTATCTGCCCCCCTTTACTAATTATCTGACTTTTTTTTTTTTTTTTGCATTTTCACCTGCCTGTGACAAAATGTGCCACATTCCTCGTCTTTTACCAACTTGTAAAAGTTATTTTCTAGTTTGAGACATGCTGCTATGATTAAATACATGTAAAATAAACAAAATGATTCAGTCAGTTAGTCACATTAAGCCGAGATCTCAGAATCAGACCCTGAAGAGAAATGTCTCATGGTCAGTATAGTCATTAGTTGACAGAATATGAGACTGTTGTTGTGTGGTGCAGTACCTTTGATCTTCACATTATCAAACCTCTTGTATTCTATTTTTCTGGAATGAACTCTTAGTGAAGCCAGCAGCAATGTTAAATTTGCTGTCTGCCATATTTAATTGGTGTACAAAGTCCTAATATGTCATCAGATGCCAATATGGTCAGTATTTTGATATGCTTTTTTGAAATGATCAGTTAAAGGTTTGTGCTGCTTTTACCATGAATGAAATGACTCACCCATACTGTGAGGCTATTGTAACAGGCTATTTTAACTGAGATAGCAGAGTAGTCCTCTCCCAGCAACCACCACCATTTGGACTGACATTTCATGTCATGCTTTACCTGTGAATTCTTTTTATAATGTCTATCTGAAGCTAATGTTTAGTGTAAAAATACTTAAAGCGTTTTGAGACTGTGCAAATCTACACTACCATGTTGTGCCTTTTTATTCTTTTAAGGGCCTCCTTGTTTTGTTTTTGTCTGTCTTTTAGTGTTTACAGTACCCACTGATTCAGCTTTGTCCCCATTCCCTTACAAGCATGCACATTTATACACACAAATTTAAGAGCCCTTTTTTCTCAACTCCACATAGTTTTACCAACTGGCTGATGCCTTCCCATGCAGACTATCAAATGGTCTGCCAAGGGCAAAGTATCCATCCTCATGAAGATGAGGCAAAAAGAAGAGGCAGGAGAGTTGTAATAAAAAGGGAGCATGAGGAGTAGGAGAGCAAGAACACAAACTTTAGAGCAGTGGAGGGAAAAAAAGAAAAGTTTGTTATGATGAGACACACTTTTGTGTAATGGTGTGCCTCTGCTGTTTTTCCAAGGACAGTTTTATTCCAAGAAGTGTTACAGACTGGGCTGCGGTTTTCACACAGCTCAGGCTTAAATGTAAAGACCACTATGCTACGGCTTGATTAGAGTCCACCTGTGCTATGTCATGGTTTTAAAATAAATAAAAGCCAAACTGCCTTGAAGAGTTGATACTTTTTTTTTTTAGATAACACTAGATGTGTGTACTTGGTGCTCATTTCTGTACAGTAAGAGTTTCCAGAGAACATCTGTTAAAAGTATGGCTTAGTTCAAATGTAGTAACTTTCATTAAAAAAACAACACTTAGAATACAGTTTAGATTCATCAAAAATGCTCTTAAGTGACCTTCCCTGCACTTGCACTTGTTAACAAGCCTCATTTGAAACAGAGCATAAATTCTTAAAGCATGTCAGGACAAATTTGAAAATAGCAATTTCCCACAGTGAGAATACAGAATAAATTGCTATGTACGAGACTATGCATAACAGCAGTCCTTCTGAATTTTTCTGAATTTTACATATTAAAATTACTGTAGAGTTTTTCCTCATTTGAATGGGGGGGACGGACGGACTACCTCTGCTGTTTTACCTTCTGTTATCTTATATGTAAATCTGCTGCTAACAGTTTTTTTTTTGCCAGGATATCTGCTGCTGTTGGTCATTTGCAGTACTGTCCATGTATACCTCATATGCTATTTTCACCTCATCACCAACACCCTGGTGATGCTGAACCATCTGACAATCTCCTATTATTGTTTTGCACTACGGTCACTGACTGTACATGGTTTTGAGTCACAGCTTAACAGCTTATTGGCTGGAGCGTTTAGATTTCTCCTAATTCTGTCAATCCAGTTCTTATTCTATTCTATTTTCATTCTACTTTATTCTATTTTAGTTCCTAAATGTTATGGCACCTAATACTAGGTGAGAGAGAAACAGTATTTCGATTTTCTGTATGTCCTGCACATATGGTGAATTGACAATAAAATCCTTGAACCTTGAACCTAAAGGTTTATTGCACCTCCGTGTCTTCTGTGCACATTACCTGAAAATCTTTCTCTTCTAGAATCTCTTTCCTCCACCTCACCAGGAAGGCCGCGCACACGTAGAGGTGGAAATGGGAGAAACCCTCTGGTTCAGCCTAGAGAGAGAGAGAGAGAGAGAGAGAGAGAGAGAGAGATGAACATGTCAAGCATAGACGCCGATTTACACCAAGCTTTTCACAGCCATACAACAAATGACACTGCCATCAGGGCTGTGTTACATTGTTCAAATAGGAGCATAAGAGAGAAAATAACCTAGTGTGTTCAGAACAGCTCTAGCCTTTCATCACATTTCATTTTAAAAGTTTTAGAATCATTTTCTGTTGTATACACAAAAAGAGGGAAAAAACCAGAATAAGAAATACTTTTCTGTCACAATCCAGGGCAACAAACAAAAAAAGATACAAATCCCCTTTACTTTGTTTGGCTTTTTATTTCAGTCCCTAGTTATGTTTGGCAGCTCACTTTTTTATGGCTCGGCAATGAACGGGGAATTAAAAAAAGAGAAACAAAGGATGAGATGTTCCCTATTCTATTCATTTTTTTCCAGAACCCTATCACAAGGAGGATAATTAGCAAGGCGTATGAATACAAGTGATAAGTCACTTGCATTCCAATATACAGTATGTTCCCTTAAAGGCGGGGCACAGTACCCAGTGTGCATCTTAATGCGTCAGCTTTTTGGAAATGGCATGTTTGTTGTAGGGTTTAGTTCACCATACTGTATATGCTATTTCAGCTTGAAATTTGTGAAATTAAAGTGTGGAATTACACTCATCAGTCTCTGTGTGGACTACCCAGATGTACAGTACATGAGTGGAGAAAACACACACACAAATACACTCACATTCTTAATAACAGTATAAATTCAGGAATTATTCTGCAAATGTGCTCTCTGATGTATCTACTTTAACACTAAAATCTTAAAACTCAGGCATCATTTAGTTTTTAGGAAACAAACTTGCACACAAACAAAAACAAATTCTATATTACACTGAAGTCTCTTTGCTTAAGGAAATGCAAATATTACAATAATTCATCCATGGTTTGAACATTTATGTAATTCACACAATTTCAATTAGACAATAATTACTCTTTTCCACTTTGTCTAGGTATGGTAACCAACTGCACCATTGCTCTTTAACCACCATATTCATTTGTGTATAACAGTGAGCCATAACTGTGGAATTAACTGCAGGAATTAACATAAACTGCCTTCTGCTGTGATAATTGAATTTCCCTCCAGGAATGAAGAGTGGAACAACCAAATTAATAGTGGACAGACAAATTTGCTGTTTGGGTTTCCTCTTACTTTACCTTCTACTCAGTTAAACCAATTTCAGAATTTCCCAACTTGTGTGAGAGTGAGAGAGTAGGACAGAGAGAAAGCGAGAGAGTATAGAGTGTGGTGAGGAAGGAAAAAAAGAGGCATTTTTGAACAGCGAAGCATATCGTGATATGAGTTGTAAACTGGCAGGTGATTGCTTTATTGGTCTAACCTTGCAGCTCCAAACCAAACAACTGAAGCAGGCACACAAACACAGGTGAGTATATAAGTGGTATACTGGATCACAGTGCTTATCAGTCCCCAAAGGATCACTACATTTTAATTTCCTTTCTTCTTTGAGGTTGTATGTGTGTGAATTCATGTTTGAGGACACCGCTGAACTCCTAGGGACCGTAAAACTCTGAAATCCACTTTATTTCTCTTCTTACACTCTT